GATTTATATAACAAAAGTATTATAAAATAAATTATTTTCAATACTGACATAGCACTGTAGCCTTGTGGTTATTCTACAATAAACCTTTTTCAGGGGATAGTTTATGTAGAATTTCAGCTTTGAGTGCTGGCGGTGAGGTGCAATGCTTCTTCCTTGAGTCTTAGGGAGGTGTGGTTTTCTCCTTTTCCGGTTTACAAAGCGGGGATATTTTGTTATACTACAAAGACTCTTCACTTTAGGAGTTTATTCTCGATAAGACTAGTTACTCATATTAACACTAGGATTAGGAGAAAATATAAGATAGATGCTAATTGGCCTACAATTATGTATGGGTGTTCTACGGGTTGACCTCCAATTCATGTTAGGGTTAGGAGGTCTGCAACTAGTATTCAGAATAAAAGTTGACTGAAGGGTCGGAATATTACGCTTCATTGTTTAGATGTGTGGAGTACTGGGATGAGCATTAGGACAAGGATTGAGAGTAGTAGGGCTAAAACTCCTCCTAGTTTGTTGGGAATTGATCATAAGATTGTGTATGCTAATAGGAAGTACCATTCTGGTTTAATGTGTGCTGGAAGGCTGAGTGGGTTTGCTGGGGTGTAGTTGTCGGGGTCTCCTAGAAGGTCAGGTGCGAATAAGGTTAGTGTAAGTAGGGTTAAGATTAGTAGTAAGGCACCTAGGATGTCTTTGATTGTGTAGTAGGGGTGAAATGGGATTTTGTCTGTGTTGGATGGAATTCCTGTGGGGTTGTTAGATCCTGTTTCATGGAGGAATAGTAGGTGGACGGTTGCTAGTGCTAGGATGATAAAGGGGAGAATGAAGTGGAAGGCAAAGAAGCGTGTTAGTGTTGCTATGTCTACAGAAAAGCCACCTCAAATTCATTCAACTAGAGTGGTACTGATGTAGGGGATTGCTGATAGGAGGTTGGTAATGATGGTTGCACCTCAAAATGATATTTGTCCTCAGGGTAGGACATAGTCTATGAATGCAGTAGCCATAACTGTGAATAGTAGTATTACTCCAATGTTTCATGTTTCTTGGAAGGCGTGGGAGCCATAGTATAGGCCATGTCCTACATGGGCGTAAAGGCAAATGACGAATATGGAAGCTCTGTTTGCATGTAGATATCGAATAATTCAGCCATAATTAACGTCTCGGCAAATATGCGTGACAGATGAGAAGGCAGTTGTCATGTCTGATGTGTAGTGTATTGCTAGGAATAGGCCTGTTAGGATTTGTACGATTAGGCAGAGACCAAGTAGGGAGCCAAAGTTCCATCATGAAGAGATGTTTGATGGGGTGGGAAGGTCGATAAATGTGTTATTGAGGACTTTTATTAGTGGGTGTGTTTTTTGAATGTTGGTCATTGGTGTTCTTGTAGTTGAATGACAATGATGATTTTTCATGTCGTTGGTCATGGTTGAAGTCCATGTGAGAATAATGATGACATACATTGTTTGTATTATAAGCATTATTTTTGTAATTAGTTTTGTGGGGGTTTCTTCAAAGCCTTCACCTATTTATGGGGGTTTAGGGTTGATTGTGGGTGGTGGTGTTGGGTGTGGGATTGTTTTAAACTTTGGTGGTTCATTTTTAGGTTTAATAGTATTTTTTATTTATCTGGGGGGAATGTTGGTTGTGTTTAGTTACATGACAGCTAGAGCTACTGAGCAGTATCCTGAGGTTTGGGTTTCTAATAAGGTTGTGTTAGGAGCATTTCTTTTAGGATCAGTGGTAGAGTTTTTAGTAGTATTATACGTTTTAGAGAGTGAGAAGGTGGAGATTGTGTTTGAGTTTAATGGGTTGGGTTATTTACGATACAGGGTATTTGGGGTTCTGCCAGAACAGAATTGGTTTGAGACGACATGAATGATAAGTCTGAGGTGACAACATGGCACCCTGGGGGAACTGACAAGCAAGCATCTGAAGGTATAAAACTGGAACTCAGAGGAGAAGCAGAATTGGACATGTGGATTTGAGGATTATCAGTACAAGTAAGATCACCCCAGAAGCCTGTGAGTAGGTGAATATCTGAAGTGAGGCAGTTAGAGAGAAGAGGTAGAGGAGGACATGTCCACCAAGAAAACAAAGAAAGAACAGTCAGGGAGTTGAAATGTACATATTATCCCAAGAGCAGAATGATGACAGAGATTCAAGAGTGAATGATCAACGGTGTCAATTGCTAAAAGGCATAAAGGAGATAGAAGACTCAGAAAATTCAGCTGAGTTTGCTGACAAGCAGTTTACCCTTGAGAGAGAAATTTCAGTAGAGTGGTTGAGGTGAAAGACAAAATGCCTTCAAGAATGAATTAAAGAGTAATTTACAGAAGAGGGATGGCTACTGATCACTTTGAGAGAAAGTCTTGAAATTACTAGGTTTGTAGCATCAGCAAGGAAAAGGAAGGGGAAGTATTCATTTTATTTTGTGTTTTGAAGTTTCTGCATACAAAGAGGATGGGTTCAATGGAAAAAGAACAAATGAAGATGTAAGAGAGTGATGACATGCATACAAAAAGGATGGGTTCAATGGAAAAAGAACCAATGAAGATGTAAGAGAGTGCCGGCAATGACAATTCAGGAAGGCTTTTTAATACAAAGACCTAATTCTTATATGGTTCTTGTTATGTCCCAGGCACTATTCTAAGTGCTTTATACATATTAGTCCATCTTAATCTCATAATATTCTATTAAGACAGTACTATTATCATCCTCACTTGCCCACTATCACCATCTGGAAGGAGTGGGTTCAAGAAATGAACTCAGGTGGACTGACTAAAGACACCATGCTCTTATCCATTGGGCTATGTTAGTTATAAGGGTTAAAGAAGGAAATAAGAGTAATGACTCCCTTCATGAGATGGGGAAAAGAGAGGAAATACTGGTTTAAGAACAATAACAGGGAAACACCTGAGCATCTTCATATGTGATAGGACATCATATGAAGTTCATCATATGAACTAATGACAGTAAGAGAATAGGGCAGGGATTAGTGTAAGTATTTAGGACAAGAGAGAAGCACACACTACAGATGAAACAGAAGAACAAAACTTGTCAAACATCTTCTGTATCCCCAGTTGATAAGGGAGCCCCAGAGGCAGTTATGTAAGGTCAAGTTCAATGTGGACCTCTGGGGGAGGGGAGGGAAGGGAAGGTTTGAGTTTGGAGATGAGCCCAGCAGATAAAGCTGCAAAGTGAGATCTGGGAAGGATGTTAAGATATTGGAGATAATTTAATTTAAATGACAGTTATGTTTTACAATTTCAGACAGGAAGCTATTTTCAGTAAAAAAGAAATACAAGTCTTGATAACTTGGTGTGCTATTGGCTGAATATTTACAACACAGTGTTTGTAAACATTGATATCAAATTGAGTAAACTTCATACATTTTAATAGGAGTAATTAAAATACAAAACTAAGCAACTGAATCTTCCATCAAGAAATGTTGTCTAACTACAACATCATCATCATCATCATTATTATTTCAGGTGTGAAAATATCAATAAATCTCAGACACTGAGAGATGAAATCTATTGTGAAGCTTGTGTAGACTGAAAATAGTTGTCTAGCCTCAAATGGCTTTCGTATATTGTTTTTCACAGCCTGACCAAGCAAAGGCTAAATTATGAATGAAATACTGACTCTACCTTTGCTGAATGTCTCCAGAAAACACCACTAAAAATGTCAAAAGAAGAGCTATTTGAAGCAACTGATATCTATACAATACAATTATAATCCTATCGTAGATGATAATTTATATAAGAAAATGGTTGTTAGTATCAGAATTTTTAACTCTATTTAATAGCTAAATGGATGTCATAGACGTTGGCTAGTACTAAAAGAGGGAGAATTACAGATAATATAAAATCATTTAAAAATATCATACTCTCCCTGAAATACTTCTTTTTCTAGACCTAGAATGAGAAGCAACCAAAGGCCATACAAATGTCATCCTGAACTTTGCCTAAATACATTTGTTTTGCAGAAAACGGATATTTTAAAAATTTAATTCACGATTGACAACTCAGTCATGATAAATGTTATTAAATATAAAAAGATAATTTTTCATCATATAATTATGTTCACTTTTTAGATGATTCTTTGTGTTTAGACTGGGTTTATGAACATTTTTTTAATGCTTTAAGGCCCAAGGATTATTGCTCAACTACATATGCCCTTGACTGATTTCCAAATATAGAGGTGTATTTCATTAAATATAGAGAATTTGCAAAACAAATGTTTTAAAACAAGATTTTACATTTTAAAAAAAGATTGAATTGCAGGTTGATTTTGACTAGTCAATTCTTTTAGAAAACTTTCAAGGTCTGAGAGTCTGTGTTAAGCCAGAATGTCTTTATGGTGATGCTCAGAAGAGCAAAGGATGCTTATACATAAGCCTTATGTGCTATCGACTGCTTGCTTCTAATAGAATATTTATGATTACATTCCAAAGCCAACTATAAGTATTTTTGCTTTTTTAAAAATATGTATACATATTTTTTAGGTACTGAACACCTCATTACTTGTTACATATCCCATCACTATACATTATGAGGCAGATAGATACATTCTAAAATAAAATATTAATATTTATTGCGGATATCTGCAGAAATTCTAATTATTTCTTTGCCCACTGACAGCAATTATAAATGCTTCCTCATCAAGGTATTGTCATTTTAAGAAGGTTTTTAAGAATGTTAAACTAAGACTAGAAGATAAATTAATAATGGCATCTTTTAAGGTTTTGAAACATGTCTTGGGATTTCCACCTTGGGATTAGAACATGAAACAATGAGCAATGCAAATTAGGAAATGACTTTTAAAGGAAACATAAATAGTTCATAATTCCCCAAGGTTAATTATTATCTTTTTTTAAGGACATGTGTCTTCACACAAATATTTAACATTCTTAATATATTTAAATATTCTTAATATATGTTTCATCCACATATAAGTTTCGAAAGTTAAGCATGAGGTAGGTTCACAGCACAGAGCATTCTCACCTTATTATATGCGTTGTGACTAGACAGGGTGTGAGAATTCTCCTGTTCATCCCTCAGGGAGAAGGAGGACAAGTGACTGAAGGGTCCTGGGGTAAGACAGTCAGCATGTGGGAGGGTCTGTGGATGCATCAGAGACTTAGCAGGAGGATGGAGTTTAGTTTGATATAAAGGATGGAGAGAAAAAGGCTTGGGAGGGACAGGCACATCCTGGGAAGAAGAAAGGCATAAAGAGGATGTTAGTGGGCAAAGGTCAAGCTCACTTGGAATTAAGTCTAAATATTATAGACTTTGCATCAGAATCTTTTACTAGTTGGAAGAAAACCTCCCATCATATTCTGGATCCTCAGAAGACTCCTGCTTTTATAGTGCATTGTCTGTCTCTTCCAGTAATTCCCATTGGTCGCCCATCTCCAGCCTCTCCTGCAGAACTGATCAAGTGCCCACAGAGTCTCCCAACAGGGCCATGTTTGTTTAAGGAAGGAGAGAGCTCATCCCAAAGTGGGGAGGATGGGACTAGAAGAATTTTCGTTGAAGAGGTAGTAACAGTGGAAATTAATTTAAAGGTGCTTGTGATTTGGTCTGGAAGAAACTGGGGGCAGAAACGGGAAGGGCATCATAGAGGGTATCAAATCATTGTATAATTCATGGTGCCATGAGTTTCCGGTTGAGCTGAGTATGGGGAAAGACTCAGGAAGAGGTGAGTCTAGAAAGAATGAACGAAGATGTCCATTCCAGGCAGGGTGTTACTTTGGAAAGAAACTGGAGAACAAACAGACGTGCTCAAATGTAGAGGGGAAAGGTAATGAAGTCTTAACTAGAGAGGGTCTTTCCATCCCCTGGAAAGGGATGCCTGCATCAGTAAGTCTTTGAGAAAGTAAGAGCTGCTAGATGAGGCCTTGAATTATGTGAACAGAACAGGGAAACCACAAGAGGGAAGTCCTGAATCTACAAAGAAAACTCACAAGAAAGGCCCATATATATATATATATATATATATATATATATATATATATATATATATATATAATGTGATGCACCTCTTATACTCCTGAAATTTTTAATGTAAGGTAATAAATTGACAGTGATTATCCTACAGTAAAACCTCTTAGGGGATAAAACTTCTAAAATAAAACCTGTTTTATTCACCTTTGAGACCTCAGCATCAAGCATAATGCCTAATAGAGCAGATTTTTAATGCAGTAACAGTTGAGTTTTCAAAAGAATATAATATTTTCAATGAGGTCAAGAATGCCATTAGTAATGAATGAATGTGTTTGGCTTTGTGTGAAACGGAAATTCAGTACAAAATAATGCACATTGCTCAAAATGACATTCAGCTAAACAGGTAAATTCAACTTTTAAGACTACACAATTAATATTTGTTTTCATGTAAGCTGAATTGATTTTGCCAAAGCCATGTATTTTTTTTTTTTTTTTTTTTTGCGGTACACGGGCCTCTCACTGCTGCGGCCTCTCCCGCTGCGGAGCACAGGCTCCGGACGCGCAGGCTCAGCGGCCATGGCTCACGGGCCCAGCCGCTCCACGGCACGTGGGATCCTCCCGGACTGGGGCACGAACCCGTGTCCCCTGCATCGGCAGGCGGACTCTCAACCACTGCGCCACCAGGGAAGCCCAAAGCCATGTATTTTTAAGCCACTAATTGGTTTTCTAAAACTTATGCTGAATGTGTTTGCTGTATCAGTAGATGCCCCCACAACGGGTTCAAACTTACTTTAAAAACTTACTTCAAAACATACTTTAGGGCTTCCCTGGTGGCGCAGTGCTTGAGAGTCCGCCTGCCGATGCAGGGGACGCGGGTTCGTG